CAACACACGATAGTCCTCGGTTGCAGCCAATTTACTCGTTGCACTCGTTCTACAGGTTTACTTTACAAGTAAATCTTGGCGACAAATCTGGTGGTGTGTAAACCAGTATTTTAAATATACCTTTTATCAGTGTTTTTATACATAAGGTCTGAGGAAAACAGTACTATGCCTGTGTGCCTGTTTTTATCATACAGTCCTTGAACAAAAGTTGTTCTTCCTTGCCCTATTCAAACCTATAATTCTGCAGTTTTTTTTTTTACAATTTTGCTTGACAAATTCCGCTCACTCAATCTGGCCAGGACGATCAAAGCACGCCCTTAATTTGAGCAAAAAATTATATTATAGAATTGTCCACATTATATTATAAAACGTTTTCATGAAGAGAATTTTCCATAATACTCGGACTGTTTAGTCGGAAAAATCTGCTCCTATGTGATATGCTGGGTAATAATTATGCGCTGTTTCACGATTAAAAAATTCCCAAAATCACCTATAGGGCCAGCTGGACGGGTTCTCACATTTGTCAAGCACCAAATTTGCAGTCCAAGCTGTCGGAGCCGTTAGGCTTCAACATGATAGAGAACTTATTATGTTTAGGTTTTATTTCACTTTATTTATGGTTTTGTTATGAGTTATCTATAAAAGCGTTTGATATTTACGCACGGCATTTTGAGTACTCCTGCATGCGATGTTTTGTTATATGTTCGACCACAGGTGGCCCAAGCGTAATATGAGAGTTTGTATGGGAAATAAAGAGTTTGAAACTTAGATAAAATAAATGAACTAAAAGCGATAAAAGTTATTAATAAAGTGTAAATATTGTTACCTCGAGTCGTGGTGTTTGTTTTTACGACGTTTCAGCGCGATTTGAGTACTTTTACATCATTTGACTTGACAGTGTAATAATAAGAGACAATTAGGTAGGACAGAATCGCTCGATCGACTTTCAAAGCTGCTCAGAATCAGCTCCAAATTTCACGCGAAAAATCAAACACACTTACATTTTACGCCACCGAATCCATAAAGTGATGCCTTAAGATCACCTTCCTGCAATCTGTTCCGGTAAACCTTGCGTCTGGATCGCATAACTCGATCGAAAAGATCAACTACAGTTCAAAAATCGGCGCCATTCATCCGTGGCTAGTAAAAGTGTAACATTTCAACTGTTTTGTCGCTCGTCGGGTGACTGGTCACTAGCGTCCACTAATAACTTTTAAAAGTGATGCCTTAAGATCACCCTCCTGCAATCTGTTCCGGTAAACCTTGCGTCTGGATCGCATAACTCGATCGAAAAGATCAACTACAGTTCAAAAATCGGCGCCATTTATCTGTGGCTAGTAAAAGTGTAACATTTCATCCGTTTTGTCGCTCGTCGGTGACTGGGTGCAAGCGTCAACTAATAACTCACTGGGAGAGGGTGACATTTCTTCGTTAAGACAAATCTCTACGCGCCCGCGTCCCAGCAAGGAGGAAAATTTAAAAAACACTCCGAATTTTCAAACAGCTGATGCAAAATTTTTTTTAAAAAATTTCCTCCTTGCTTGGAGGTGGGTGCTTAGAGATTCGTCTTAACGAAGAAATATCACCCTCTCCCAGTGAGTTATTAGTTGACGCTTGCACCCAGTCACCGACGAGCGACAAAACGGATGAAATGTTACACTTTTTCTAGCCACAGATAAATGGCGCCGATTTTTGAACTGTAGTTGATCTTTTCGATCGAGTTATGCGATCCAGACGCAAGGTTTACCGGAACAGATTGCAGGAGGGTGATCTTAAGGCATCACTTTTAAAATTTGTGGATTCGGTGGCGTAAAATGTAAGTATGTTTGTTTTTTCGCCAACCTCGTCCCCAGGGCTTGTCCCTTGAAATTTGGAGCTGATTCTGAGCAGCTCTGAAGGTCGATCGAGCGATTCTGTCCTACCTTGTCTCTTATTATTACACTGTCAGGTCAAATGATGTAAAAGTACTCAAATAGCGCTGAAACTCCGTAAAAACAAACACAACGACTCGAGGTAACAATATTTACACTTTATTGATAACTTTTATCGCTTTTAGTTCATTTACTTTATCTAAGCTTCAAACTCTTCATTCCCGATACAAACTCTCATATTACGCTTGGGCCACCTGTGGTTCGACTGAAAATAACCTGCGCAGCGATTAAATTGAGAAACTGAGACTACTAACAATAAGTAAAATAAATATAACTCGGTGAAACATGTACTGAGACAACAATTTTCATTCACGAAGATAAGTTTTGAGAGTAATGTGTCCCTGAAAACCAAGAGTCGGGTAAGCATAAGCTCATAAACTTCTAGCCTCCCCGCAGACGTCCTTTGGGGTTCGTTCGTAACGCATTCATGATTGCGTGACGAACGAACCCCAAAGATTAATTTCTCCAAGATCTAATGTGACATTTGACATCAACTTACATAAAGTGTGTGTACTGGTGGGCGTACGCCACGTCATAACCAAATTCTCTCGGATGGATAGTTTACCAAATTTTCTTACCCATGGTGTTCCGCAGGCGCGCGCTTCGCGCGCGGCAGCTCCGCTAATATTGCGGTAACCCGCCCAGAATAGTCAGAATGCATGAATATTATTATGACAATTCATTCCACCACTTTAGTGTCAGTTGTAGTCTTCTTGGAGAATACTCATCGACCTTGTCCTTTCTATTTTTATTCACGGTTTGACGGGGAATGCTATGAAGATGTTGCAGTTAAAAGAGTATCTTATGGGTCTTTCTCAACTCAGATGAACATGTTGAGATTATAGAAAGCTGGTAAATATGCAAACAATTCTCAGAGCCCTTAGGCTCCTGTCAGAGTATTAAACTTCGAAATAACTTCACGATGTGATCTGAAGTTGATAGTGGAATTTAAGGTAGTTTGACGGGCGGGGAATGCTATGAACATGCTACGGTTAAATGAATATTTTGGTGGTCTCTCAACTCAAATCAAGAAATGCCTTTAAGTGACTTCCCTCGCCTCAACACTCCCCCCCGCCAAAAAAACCTTTTAGGCAGTGAAACGTACCTCAGGGACACCAAATCATGCGTTACTTCCACTCGATTTTCTTTTAAATGTTCAGCCATTCCGCAACGGCCATTTATAACGTATTTATGAGCGAGCGATCTACAAACTGATGTTTTGCTCAGTATACCTACTATACGTTGTTTTCTGGTCACTGTTATTTCTTAACATTTCGTTTATGTTGTTTTGGTATATTTCAGGGGAAATATTATGACAGTTCTTTAAAACTAAAAATGTTTAAATCATCCATTTACACCCTTGAGGTACCTGTCCGTAACGGTCACCTCTGGCTCTTTCCACAAGGCCACTTACCCGACTCGCCCAAGGGTGGCCGAATTAAAATCCCCCAAAATACACTCTGTTTGCCCCCCTCCCCCCCCCAGATGCTCCTGGGACAGCTTCGGGGGGCATATTACCAAGAGAAATTGAAAACAACTACTTACCCAGAGTGTATTATGGGGATTCGAAAATAGTCAATAACCGAGTAACTATGGAAAAAATATCGGAGAACGAGGCTAGCCTAGCGGGGTACTGGGCAGTAGGCCTGTCCCGACTGGGTTCTTAATATGCAGAAAAATTGCTCACTGGGATGCCAAAAAATTTTTCAAAAAATGCCAAAAAGCCAATAAGTTACTACATAAATTTCAATAGTTGCCACCTTAATTTCTTGATATTTTAAAATAAAAGCAGGAGCCCATCCTGAAGCTAAAAAAGTTAATTAAAAGCTTCATCTCTCTTTCTTCACAGTAATTGTGCTCGGTCAAGAAAAATAGCTTGAAACACAGCTTTAAAGTTGCTCGCAAATAATACTGTTTAGTCTAACAATAAGAGCCCTGAACAGCATTTTCCTACTTAGCTAATTAATTATTCTTTTTTCTATGATTAAAGCGAAATGTGCATTGAATTTCCTTTTTAACTTACCTTAAGCCTTTTCTTGTGTTTATTTGTGTATTGACTGCGTTGCAAGCCTCTTAAGCACGTTTAAATGCCGTTTTTAGCCTGCGAAACGTTGCCAAGTTAAAGGTAATGGGGTCAAAAGATTGATGAACGTTCAAGAAATTCACATAAATTGAAGTTTTCTATGAAATCGTTAACTCCTTCGTGTTTGATATAATCTCTTAACCTATATTTTATGCTCAAAAATTGCTCAGAAAGGTTAAAGTTGCTCCAAACGCCAAAAGTTGCCATCACAATCGGGACAGGCCTACTGGGAAGGGGAAAGACTACCACCCCTACTCCTCCTTTGTCCCCTGTCCGTTTCGCCTGTTTTTCTATCTCTTAATACAGTCGACTTCCGATAACCCGAACTCGGAAAAAGTTCGAGTTATCGAGAGTTCGAAGCAAATAACCGGAAATAAGGAAACACGCAAATGGATTAGCCTGCGAAAACATCCGTTTCTCCTCGCTCTTTGCCGCTGGGGACGTTTCGCGCGTAGGAAATGTCCCCAGCGGCGAAGAGCGAGGAGGAACGGATGTTTTCGCAGGCTACAAATGGATTGGGAGGGAATGCAAGTATCATGCACACTTCACTTCAAGAGCAGCAAGAAATAAAGATTCATTTGATATTTTGAAAAAGGAATTCAGCAACAAAGCTTGATTAATATACAGGGATGGACACAAAATTTGAATTGCAGTGACAAAAAAAAAAAATAAATAAATAAATAAAGACAAAGAATTGACACGGTTTATTGTGTTTTGAAGTAAATTCAATGTTTCGGACTTCATTACACCGTTGTTGTTTTTTCAGCTTCTCACACGTTTAAAACATGGTTCGAATTATCGAGGGTAAAATTGTATAGAAATGATCTGGAGGGAAACAAAAATTAGTTCGAGTTAGTGGGAGGTTCGAGTTATCGAGGGCGGTAAAATTACAGTAAATGTATGAAGGAAATCTCGTTGCCGTCGCCGTTGGTTAAGTTCCCTAATGTCAAGACCGCGTGCTCAGATAATCCGTTAGGCTTTATTTTGACCCTTAAATTAGAACTTATTTTCCCGAATATTATATGATACTAAAATCATCACCATTTACAGCTACATTAACACTTGTTAGTCATCCAGTTCAAAAATCAAATTATTCGTCAACCCAAAGGAATCGCCGTCACTCGCCGATAAAGTCGCCGGTTTAGCATTTTCGTTATCATGAACATTATTTTTAGATACTTCTTCACTTTCTCCTTTATCTTTCACGACCTCTAGCGCGGCGGGATCAACACCCTCCCCGCAGGAATGGTCCCCAAACCCGCCCCATCCGTTCCCTTCATTAACGGGCGACGAGCCGTTGCTTAGTTCAGATCCACTTCCTTCGCTTTCAAGTGAATTTTTTCTCGCCTCAGCTTCCAGTCTTGCTTCTAGCTTCCTTTTCTTTTTGTCCTTTTTGTTGCTGAAGACACGAACGTTGGGATTGAGATTAAACCGTACGTTTTTCTTGCTCGGCGATTCCGGGATTCCGTTTACTTCATTGTCGTCCCCCAGGGATTCATCGGTGGACGTGCTTGAAGTCCGCCTAAGAATGGAGCGCCTAGTTCTCACAGCATTACTTATCACATCAATTGGTACTAAATTATCATGTTTTTCTTCCAAACCCTCACCGCCGTCTTTAATCTCGGGATCGGAGCCCTTAAAACCTTGCTTTTCTTCGTACATTTCCTTGCTAGCTTCCTTCAACTCCGTGCTACCAAACTCAACCTTGTCTTTTTGCTGATCGTCCGTTAATTCTGTGTTTACTTCCTCACAAGAACTGATGTATTCTCCCATATGACACGTATCTGCAGATTCCTCGTTATTTTTAAACGATTTCTTGTCAGCAGCTTCTTTTAAATTAGTTTCAACCTCAAGCTCGAGGCATTCGTCCGTAAGGGATGAAACCTTCACGCTCGCTTCCCCTTCTGGAGCCAACTGAAAGGATAATAAAGAGAGTTAAATGGCGATATGATTTGCCAGACGTATCCACAAAAACGTAAACGAACGGTCCAAAGCTCTTCTTCACAAACCCACGTGTGTAAATACAAGTGATTCATCATATTTGCTTATAACAGGTGCAAAACTTGGCACCTGTTGAACTAGGAACTAGACGTCAGTTAAACTACGTACAACACCTGGTGGGAAGAAGTGCTAGCATAAAATACGAATCCCTGAAATGCATGCGGAACAATACATCCTTCCACGTTTTTTTACTACTACTTTTGATAACAAGCAGTAAGCAAATACCCAACGACACTGCGCGAAAGTTTAAAGGTGATACGTCCAAACAAAGGTAACAATGGAACCTTGGCCCACAACAAAAGAGTTGCGAAAAGTAGGGGTCCAATGAAATTAGAGGTTTAAGGAGGTGTGAGGTTAGTGCGCCAAACATCATCACACATACCCACGGATCCTGATCGGCGATTTCTCTCATCATTAAATCAACAGTCTCGTCGGTTATGAAGAACTTGACCTTTTTGAAAAAGAAAGACGACGACATTTAGAAATACACAATTCTCTTTCTTTCGTTAACTTCGTCTGGCTCTAAGGCCAACGTTGAGTTGTTTAAATGCTGGTAGGAAATCAATTTTCTTCCATTATTATTCGGCCTGCCCTTTATCTGGAAAATAATCCGTGGTCGTTTCACGTTTCATCCCTTTTTAACTGGCTCAACACTAGAAAAAAATCTTGACAAGGCCAAAGAGTAGTTTTTGTTTAAACCTTAGTGGAATTGATAAATTCAAAAGAAAAGCGTAAAGGAAATGAATTCTGGGGTGGTTACAGTTTTCATACAAAAGCCACCCACATGACAATTTTGTGCATAAAAATAAAACTATAAAAATAGACGGGGTGGGAGTACAAAACGCTACAATATATATCCAAATCTACTGAACAGACTAAAGTTTGGTTCTCCAACCGGAATTACCGGTTTTCCCATATAAATGGTAAATACCCCTGGTAGTTGTAGTCAAATAACGTCACTACAAAGATTGTCCATTTTAGTTAGGACGCTTACAGAGCCGCAGGTTCATCAGTTCTTGAAACTATCAAGTGCCATGCGCTCTCTCTAAATACCGTGAATTTATTTCTGCTGTTTTTTTTTTCACAAATTTGTTGGATAAATAATTTGTTAACGGCGTCCGTCCACACGCGAACAATCGTTATTAGCCATTTTCCTACAGAGGATCTCCAGGGTGGACAAGCTTGTAACGGATAACAATTGTTCTCGTTTGAACAGCGGTAAACACTTCAGAGTGTACGCGTTTAATTCAGCTCCACACTGTAACCCAAGAGTCACACTTGTCATCACAGAGGGTTTTCCAGTCAAAGCAAAACGTTGCTTTAGTTTATTTTTCCATTTTGTTCTTATCCAAAACGATTTGAGCATGTGCTAAAACACACTAACCTCCATAGCATATGCAAAGGAAAAGAAGGTAAAAAACAACAACAACAACAACAAAAACAAACTAAAATGTAACAAAGCTTTATACTTCTAGTTTATCTTCGCTGGAACCAGCATGGAAACTGTCCCAAAGTCCTTTGCAGGCCTCCAGTTTGTACAGTGTCAGAACAATGTTCTCCTCGCTGACGTCAATATTACAGAGCTCCGTGTCGAGGTTATGGTCATCCGGGAACTGAAGATAAAGGGCGTAATCCGGTGAAGGCAACTCTCCCGGATGTGGAGTCCCTGATGGAAAACTGATGTACGCCTAACAGGTAAAAGAAGGAATGTATAATCAGTGAAGGGGTTGACTCTTCCACGGTTTTTCAAGATTTGATAAAGACCAGTAAGCCAATATCCATCAGATCGCGATTTAGAATTAAAAAAACCTACCAAGTTCCAAGGAGATACGTCCAAAGCGAGCGGAGACATTGCTCCACAAAGTCGTGAAATTTTAAAGACGTTGTAACCTGGGGGCCACAAACTTGCCCCCCTCCCACCCCCCCCAGCCAATCACACGTCTGCAATCTTCCGCGACTTTGCGCAGCCATTTTTTTGTTAGACATATTAAATTCTGCCAGCGGAATACTGCAATTCTGATCGTACTACGTGAAAATTAACTCTGCAAGACATCAACACGACACCGAAAGAACTCAAAACAGAGCGGGACTGTAGCCATAGACGGCTGTTTCGCCCTTTTTGGGGCTCGTCAGTACGCTGCAACAACCAGAGAAAGCTCTGATGAAAAATATCCGCGCACTCTGATTGATGACTTCTTTCGGTGTCGTGTTGATGTCTTGCAGAGTTGATTTTCATGTAGTACTATCACGATTGCAGTATTCTGCTTGCAGAATTTAATATGTCTACATTATTATTTTTGCTGATCAGGTCTTTATAGATCCTAAGTTCCTTGGCATATTCGTTTGCGGTCCTTTGCAGTCCTTTATGGTTAATGTTTGTATTTTTTTGTTAGTTTTCAACATATCACTTTCAAACATTTTAGGGCTGACAGAATGAAGGCGTTCTTTCCAGCCGTGCTAGTGCTGGGTATGCACTTTCATGAGATTTGCCTCTAGCCACTTCTCTTACCTTGTTTTTGTTGAAGCCCAGGGAGATCGAATCAAGGGCGACATTTGCTACGTAAATAATAAATGTGATGAGCTCAGCATCCTGGTGATACTTGTAAGGCGGGCAGGTGAAGAAACATGGCGAAGGAAACTCTGTAGAGAGAAAGCTCCAGTGAGAAAACACTGCTGTTCGTGTTTTAAACATTTACTTACAGCACTACTGCACCAAATATCAAAGGGGCAGTGTCACGGCTAGTCTGCTACATGGCCGTTTTTGGTGTCGTCACGCAACGCTCCTTGTGGGGAGGCTGGCTGGCTGGTTCATTTTGTTCCTTATTCGCTCTGAAAAATGAGAAATTACTTGTGAAGGACAAAATCATGGCGTGCTTCACAGCCGTTCTTTATGGCCTCGCGAAACGCAACTATTGTGGGGAGGAGCATTGCGTGATGACAAAAAACCGTGACGGCTGTGTAGCAGACTAACAAAATCACAGCTTTGTATCAAACAAATGTGTCTTTCAAGCATTATATCACACAATTAAAACAACTGTACAAAAATGAACTTTCAACAACTGTTAGGATAACAAGTTCAAAAATCACACCTGATTGCAAATCAATCTTCTTCTAGTTTGTCCATCTGATCTGCGCTTCCTTTTGTATTTAGTGTGTCATTTAAATACCTTCTTTTGACGTACCCACTGTTCGAATTTTGATAAATTTTGTGACAGAGCTCCTTTAATTTACAGAGACAAATTATGACTTTCCTTCACTTTTCCCCTCGTTTTCTTTATCCCAGTAGAAAGTTCACACTATACCTGAACATGATTTGGACAGATTGAATCTGATATTCGAGTTATCTGTCACCTTCTTTGTATCCTCGGATTGCAGTTGGCTGTTCTCTTCACTACAAGGGACGTCGAAAGTGTTCTTACCCTCCATTGTGACGCCATCTTGTTTTATTAATTCNCAAGTTCAAAAATCACACCTGATTGCAAATCAATCTTCTTCTAGTTTGTCCATCTGATCTGCGCTTCCTTTTGTATTTAGTGTGTCATTTAAATACCTTCTTTTGACGTACCCACTGTTCGAATTTTGATAAATTTTGTGACAGAGCTCCTTTAATTTACAGAGACAAATTATGACTTTCCTTCACTTTTCCCCTCGTTTTCTTTATCCCACTAGAAAGTTCACACTATACCTGAACATGATTTGGACAGATTGAATCTGATATTCGAGTTATCTGTCACCTTCTTTGTATCCTCGGATTGCAGTTGGCTGTTCTCTTCACTACAAGGGACGTCGAAAGTGTTCTTACCCTCCATTGTGACGCCATCTTGTTTTATTAATTCATCGGATGATGGAGAAGAAGACTCCGCTACACTTTGTGAATTCAATATTTCTTCGCCTTTGTGTTCACCTTGCTGTGTGTCACTCAGCTTTTCTGAGTCGGTTTCTTCACCCTGTGTGTGTAACAGACGAATGCTTTTACTTCACGCGAGGCTCTAATAAAATTCTATCCGATAAACGCACAAACTGGAAGCGTGTTTCACTCCTTAAAACCCATCCTCTCGTACGCGATTAGCTCTAAAAAAGGGCAATTGTCTGAATCGATACCTCACAATTTATTTTCTTTCCGCTTTCACGAGCATTCCTACCTCCAAATATTAGAGAGCTTAAGCAAAGTGAGCGACGCACGGCAACAGGGATTGGACTTTTTTTGGGCAGTGTTTTTGTTCAAATTTTCGGGCAAATCGTCATTATAATGGTGAAGAAACTTAGCAACACAAATTTGGTAGCGTCAAGGCATATTACAGGTGAAAAGACCTCACCTCTGGTTGAAGTGCGTCGCACAAAAACGCCTTTGCTTGCTGATTTAGCATCAGGACGGGAACGTCAGTTGACGACGGGAAAGCCCGCGGAAAGGACTAAACTCGACTTCCGGTGCCCAATTTGTCGCTCTGCCATTGGTCAAGCCAGTTGTTTGATTTGCTCGGGCCGTCGTCAACTGACGTTCCCGTTCTGTTGCTAAATCAGCCTACAGTCGACTCGATAACTCGAACCCTCGCTAACTCAAACCTCGCGCTAACTCGAACCAAAATCGATTTCCCCTGGATTTCCGTCATAAATTCACTGTAATTTTACCCTCGGTAACTCGAACCCTCGATAACTCGAACTCCCGCTAACTCGAACCATTCGTGTCCAACAGCACACTGACTAGATGGTCCCCGGGGCAGGTAAAAAGATATAAAAGTGACAGGCATGCTCGTTGGAAAATTAAAATTAAACCCCTAAGGGAGACCAATGTAGGTGTGGTTCAAGCTTAAACTGACCCCTAAAGAAGACCATGCCATCAAAAGAAATACATTTGTTTCGTGCTAGGGATGTCATGTTCTTTTTTTTTGAAAACGTTAGATTTCTATGATAGCGTAAGTAAGACGACGAGCATTCCCGTCACTTTTATATGGGGGTCCCACCCCCTGGAGATGGTCTGACTATTGTCTGTTGTAAGTCACCTACCACGGGAGTCTGGACACTGAGAATAGGCGGCGGTAAGACTGGTAATGTCACAATCAGTCGCCTTTTGCTCTTGTCAAACTTAGCTGAGCCATTTTCTTCTTCAACTGGATAAGGTAGAGTCAAGTATGTACAGTCAAGGTAAATGACACTTAGGTTTCACATCAAGGGCTAAGTGGAACACACGCGTTAGTGACGGTTTTGATTCAAACGATTCGGTCCAATTGGGTTCAGAGAAAACAACAACAACAAAAAATCCAAGATATCTTTTTTATAAAGTTTGTTACTTTCGGGAGAGAGGAAATATCGTTTCCTGTCCAGTTCGTCTTTCTTTTGACAAACTTTTAGGCGTTGTTGAATGTCAAACCGTCGTTGTTTAGCCCGGACGTCAACAATTGTTTAACGTTTCAACAAAGCAATGACAGGATCACTTTACTGGCCTTTCCACGTCACTAGATCTTAACAGCTGAGTGAATGTGTTAGGGGTTGAAATCCTAACATGTGACTATTCAAGTGAAATCCCTTCAGCAGTAATTTCACAAGCACTGCTTGATTTGTTTTCAGGATTTTACAAAACAAAGGCTGGGAGACAGTGCTCGTAAAAATCAAACAGGAATCGCAGTGGGACAAAACACTTGGTGGTCATATAGTCTTGGAAGGGGGAATATGACAGCGAGGAGATCTTGCCTCATTCCGCCAGAAAGCTTGCCCTCTATTGCTTTGTTACTAAAACCAAAACGGTGACACCAATATAAAACTTCAAGAGACAAGTTTTTTGTAGCCCAGTTGTGGTAAAGGATATGTCTAAATGGTAGGGGGGCTTCTTACAATCCAACACAAGCTGTTTCTCTAAAATATCCAAGTCTACTGGGGCGGCGGATTCCTAGGAAAGAGATAAAAACGTCAGGGTATTTAAGGGGGGGGGGAGGGGAAGGGAAATTCAGCACGTAAGCCAAGCTAACGTCCCTGCTTGTAATTGACCAACTGGTTTGCCTCTGTTCCAGGCGTTCGGATTGTGAAAAACATGTTAAATTGTACGTGGCAAGCACAAGAGAAAGAGAAGGGAGAAAACTAGAGGAGACCGAGGGTTTCCCTTGCCGATTTTTTCCGTTGCTCTATTTTTCACCAGGCTCCTGGAAAAGACAGCCTGCCAGTTGAATTTTTGAACCCTGTTATAATGAATTCAATAATTTTGGTAAGTTATTTGCTTACATCTGTTAACAACAATCACAAGAAAGTAATAATAAGTGAACTAGCATATTTACTCGAAAGAGGACCCTCTCTTTGTGAATAAAAGAGTAAAAATATAACAATGAAATAGGAAGAAGATATTTAAGATCTTTGCCCGTTACCATTAGCATTTCGGCAGTAACCATAACCGCCGCGTTGTTAGTAGGAGAATGCAGCCCTTGGTTAGGGATGGCGCTTAACCCGTTTTAAGAACCCTAAGTTCAAATTTGAATTCTCATTTGTTACCCCAATTCATTTCCCACCGAAGTAGTGGGGGAAGTTGATAAAATATCAACCAAACTCATCTTGTGTGATCACGTCCGTGATTCTAATGACCACTTTGTTTTACAAAGCATAGATATTACAAGGAGAAATTTGATGCTGCTCACTCTTATGGCCTAAAGGGTTAATAGTGAGTAGTGCCTTATGGTAATGTGCAGTACCAAAAAGGGGCGTGAACAAGTGATTCTTGCTTACCAGCTTAGGCAAGTCAATGTAGATGACAAGTTCTTTAGGTCTTGTATTTGCATTAGAATCCCTGAAAGAAACCATTCAATCAGATTTTACACCACTGAAAACTGCATCCTACTATCACCCTTGCGACTAATTAGAAAGTGGTCGCTTTAGAAAAGATTACGAAAATTTCGGTGCCTAATTTGCAGCTCCGCCCTTGGTGAAGCCGGGCTTTTTATTTGGCGCTGTCGTCACTGCTGTCTGTGCTATAAAATCGGCCAAAACCGCGGAATCAGGCGACGTCTCCTTTATCCTTCCTTAATCAACGAACTGTAGAAAGGGATGTACATGTAAAAGTGCCCACTCTTCTGTTCGTAAAGAACTGGGGACGCTTTCGCGGAGGTGTAGTCTATCTCTTCCCATGCTATCACTTCACTTAATACACATATCGTACAGTTAGCTCATAAATGGACCGATGGCGGCAGCCAGAGGCGCCATTGTGTGCTGAAGTCCGAGCTTGATGTTCAAGTGTAATGTGAAGAGGGACGCGCGTCTTGTTAATCTTTTGCCCGCGCCTGACTTAACAAATCGATTTGAAAGTCAAAAGTCTTAGGGTTAACTTTAGACGATAAAGCCTTGATTGGAACACCCCTAAAAATTCACCTCTAGCCTGAGGTATTTTAATCATTACTTATTTACATTACATGTATACCATAAGGATATGACAAATCAGGAAGTATAACCTTGCATATGTGAAATTCTGGAGGTCGATGTGTCCCCGATGCACAATTTTGTATTCTGGAACACTAGGATCAGATGTTCCCTTTTGTTTCTTCTCGGTATCGATCTTTGTAGCCCTTTTATTTTCCTCTTTACAATCAGCTGCAGGTTCATCACTGTAAGGATAAGGAAATTTCTGCCCACCAATGGTAAAATCAGCAGAATCTGCGGGCACCTGCACAAAGCAGAGGAGAAATGTTAAAGGTTAAAGTTGGATCACAACTCCTGTTATACAATTCTCCGATTTAGCACTTTTTGCACCCTTTTGTGGGTGAAGCTACAGCGTAAATGGCTCAGTGTGAGATCTATTTATTAAAAAGCAATCATTTTGTACACTCAAATTTTGACCTATAGAGCAAGGTATATTTTTCATGGTCGGGGGCAGGGGGGAGGGGGAGAAGGGGAGGGGGGTACTCTGGACTTCAATTGACCGGGATGATCGAACGATTTTTTTTTGGATTTGAAATTTTCGATTCCGGGATGTTTTTGGGTAGCAAATTGGGAAAATGTGTTTTTGGGTTTTTTCGGTATTCAATACAATATGAAGGTTTGTGGTAGAGCCCGTGTACCTCGACCACGTGGTTTTGTGAATAAAATACAACTAAACAAAGTGAACATCTTATATCATTTAATACTTTCTGGAAATTTTGCAGGCTCAGGAATTCGGTATGGGATTTTTTAGGGTTAATTTTTGGTCCAGGGATGGGTTGGTTTTGTCAGACGCCATAGGGATTTTTCTGGGGTTTTGATTTTTGCCCCCATTCGATAATCCCCTTCACTTGAAATCAGAAGTACACTCCCTGGGTACATGGTATGCCAACAAAACATCTGTATTAGTCATATAAGACAATAAGTTCTACAAAACAAATTACAGTGTAGAAGAAAAAGTCAGTTGCTCAAATACCTCTGCTGTCTTTGTCCTTATGACTGTAGCCTTCTTGACACCTTTAAATTTCATCTTAGGAAATTTAAGATCTGGAAAATGCATAAGAAAATGAAAAAAACAAACAAACAAACAAACTAAAGTAAAAATATAAACAAATTTAGAAGGATTGTTGATGTTCTATTACAGCTTAGTGTAATGCATAACTCAGCAATGTTCAGACTTTTGGTGGCTTCACCCGACCCAGCACATTGTATATCATTTATTCATCATCTGATTTACCAATTTTAAGCACTGGGTTAGGACAAAAGAACTTGAAGACCCACAACATAATTTATTCCACAATGTTAATTAATAGTATGAGAATTTACATTTACCAAATGTTGGACAAAATACTTGTTATTTTAACCAAAAAAATGGACTTACTTTTTCTTTCCAGTGTCGCTTTGAACTCTTTCTGTATTCCATCAAGTGCTGTATCAATCATCAACTGCTTAAATCTTTTGTCCTGTCATAACCAAAACAGGAAAAACATCAAAAGACTAAACGTTTAAGATCCCTAGTGATCTGACTCTGGCCTTCTAAACAACCCCCTCCACACTGAAGTGCAATTACATCTTGGCATTTTTTTTTTTTGCGGGGCAGGGGGAGCTGTCCCTTACAGGAAGAACATTTAAATTATTTATTTCCTACTAGCACATCTTAAATTTAATATGTCCATACCTGCTGTCCTTTCTGATAGGTATCAGGATGAAATACAGCATCATATACCACACATTTATTCCCCGCTAAATAAAATAAAATAATAAAATCATCAGAGGACAAAGATAGTAAACTATAAGCTCTATTTTGGTACAGATTACATGAATACATTTGATATTTTTGGTATCATCTATGCAATATGTACATTTTAAACTCTGTGCTGAAAAGAATAAAATCAAGTTATTATAATTTACAGTAACTGGAATGTTGGCAATTTTGTGAGTACATGTACCTCTGTCAAAATCATCTCTGGGATGGGAAAGGCTATAGGGGATATTCCACTGCTGGCCACCTCTCCTGAATTTTTGAAGAGATTAAAGAAACAAACATGAGTTTAGATTTTAGCAGTGTCTTCAATCTTCATTGTGTAGTTCCAGAAAATATCCATACTACCCCACAGGGGGCACTTTTGTTTTAGACAGTGGCGCAACCAAAGAAACCAATGGTCGCTCAAAGAAGATGCTGTTCTCAATTGGAAAGTTTAGGCATTGATACAAACAGGACCCTTGGATATATATCACTAAATTATTTAATGTCTCCACTGAGCAGGCAAAGAGGTCTACCCAAGATAGGAGTGGTTTCCCTGCACGAGTGGAACGTGTAGTCCCCAACTGGTGCAACTCCATGGTAACAGATTTACCGTCTGGAGGATTTTAACTGTACTGTACTGTACTGTTTCTCTCCCATAGCATTAGGCCTGGAGAAGAAAATGCTCGCAGGGTATGATTACTCATGATATTTTTTTCAACACCGACTTAAGAGTAGAGAAATTTTTTATCTCGGCATGGCCATGTAATATCCCTAAAAAGTGTACTTCAGGTAAACCTCCAAATAAACATGACGAACCAAAATAGAGTTCAAAAGAAAAAGTTAATATTAATGTCACACAGACAACTGAAAATTACAGTTTAGCTGATTGCTTGTTATTGTTGCATATTATGCTTCTAACGACTACAGTTGCTTACTTTTTCCCATTTTCCTCTTTCTCCATGTACTGCGATGAGGCTTTTCCAATGTGCTGATTAGAGCAAATATTGACAAAAGCTTTCACTCCACTGATGGAATCTGTTGTCTTCACAACATACCCATCCTGGATGAAATGAACCATAAATAAGTGATCTGTACAATCATCATACATTACATGGTTAGGTTACTGTTACAGGTATAAAAGCACAAGTCACATATTCTTTTTCATTCAGGTACACAATCTCAATTTGTAATTAACAGGAAGGTTGAACTATTGCCTACTCGGTTATTCTGAAAAGTTCACAAAGGCGCCATAGAAATAATCACGCTTGCAAACCTAGGAAACATGATCACTATAATCCAGGCTCCAGATGAATCTCAAACTATTAATGTTAAATTCCATGCAAGATGCCTGTAAGCTTTTTTAAGCAGTCAAAGCAATAACTGAACCCCAGGCTGAAGTCTGGTCAAATATTAAAGCAACCTAATTCCCAGGGCTTCTCGCTCTGGATGGTATGAAGAGAGACCACCCCAATGGGAATGACACTCCATGAAAAAATAGTAAATATAATTATACAAAAACATTGATTTACAAACCCCTGGCAAAACTAGTATCATCTTTGCAAGCTCAGATAGTTTTAAAAGTATGGACCTAGCTCCACTCAAATATAATAAACCACACTGACCACAATTTTTCTGACTGGCTGGCACTTCAGCTCAATATCATGTGTCTAATAGTCCAATGAATAAGAGCCACTTTCAATTCTACACAGGTAGCCACTAAAAGCACCATTTAAGACTGTTGTTGAAATTAATGTTCCTTATATTTTAGCATTAATTTATTGTACAATAGACATTCTACCAATTGGCTGTAAATCATTTCAACTTCTCTTCATGAGGTTAATCACCAAAAGGCATTTTATACATCTACTATCAATAATTATTATACCTCAGGATTAACAAATTTGACATCCACTCCTCTCATTTTCTCCATTTGTGTTATTTCTTCCTCATATTTCTGCAAAACATCCATGTAAATATGAGTTACAAACTTGCTTCACTCGCCATCTGTGTTCACCAAAATGGTGAACACATCAAA